CATTTAAGGAAATAAGAAATTAATTTTAGGACAACCCAAAAAGGAAAGTGAGAAATTAATTTTAGGACGGAGGAAGTAATGATTGTGATTCTCCAGAATAATGTGACATGAAAAAAAATATATGAGACGAATTGAAACAAATGAAGTGTAAATTATTTTAATTAAAACATGAAATTTATATAATATACCCCTTAATTGATTACAACAATGTTCATTTTTACTACTCCCTCCGTTTTTTTAAAAATATTCCTATTTTGACTTTGTGTAAAAATAAAGAAGTGTTAAATTGTAGTTGACTTCTAATTTTGCCCTTGATGTGATGGGTAAAAGTAAGATGTGATGGATTGAGTATTAGAGAAAAAGTATGATGTGATAGGTAGGGTATGAAAAAGTAAGGATAGAAGTGGTTTTTTAATAGAAAGTGGAAGTGTTTTGTTGGAAGTAAAAAAAATGAAAGAGGAAGAGTTTTTAAGAACGGAGGGAGTAACATTTTCCAAATCATTCCATTTTCTATTAAGTCCTTTCTGCTTCTTTTAACACCCTTTTTAATTTTTCTCCAAATAATTTTTTTAGCACTACATTAATGAACTCTATTATAATAGTATATCTGTTCTAATATAATTCTTAGTTTATTGAAAAACAAAGAGTCAACATTTCTTCATTGGGTTTGAACACGTGAATTCTCATTTTGGAAAGACGTGTTAATACTGTTTGACAACAAAGTCTTTAGTCCTTGTTAGAGTACATCTCACATCGGAAGTTCAAGCTAAGAGTAAAATAATCAGTATATAAGCTCTTGAGTTGAACTAATCAATCGATTGAATTCAATCTTTTAATGCGGTTCAACCCAAATGTCTTATTGCCCAACTTACTTGTCCCTACCCCATCCTAAAATTCTATCAGTCCTCCAATTCCTCCAAATATCATGTCTGAAAAAAGAAAGCACAATATACACTCGGTATTATATGAATTGCTAATAAAAGCCACCGTAGTATATACGGATGAGTACTCGATTCATTTGGTTGGTAGAATACATAATAACATACGTGTTTCTGTTTTTACTTTTTAGTACACCATATATAGCTGGCTTTTAGACATAAGGGGCCACTCATTTATATATAGTCTTCCTCTTTTTCTTTTTCTTTTTTTCCTTCGTTCTTCATTTGGTTTTAAAGGTTGGCGGTGGTGTAGGGAAGCATGCAGGCTGGGTTTTAAATGTCATGTAAATTAATATCTTTACTTTGGATAAAAAATACTTTAAAAAAGTTCAAAAAGTTGGAAATTAACGTATGTTATGTTTTGTGAAATTTGCACTAAATAGTACGGAGTACTAAAATATACGGAGTATGTCTTTTAGTTTCTCAATGTAGTACCTACAACTTTTTATTCTCTAAATAGTACTGGAATAATGTCCAGTGTCGGTAGACATTTACTTTGAATAATTTCTCTAAGTTTTTCTCATATTTAGGATGATTTTTTAGATTTATGCATGCCGACAGGGGCGACTCAAGGCATGGGCAGAGTGGTAACCTAGTACCGACCTATTTTCGGAGGAGGCTCATATTCTTAAATTATACGATAATGTTAATTATTGTTAAAAACTAATTGTTAAACTTTATTTCTTTATGATACAGTAACCTATTTTCTTTGTGCCGTGCTTGGCCCTTTGTTCTTAAATTATACTATTTGTCTCGTAAAATTTTTCAACTTTCACATCTTAACTGTCCTATAAAATATTTTAATTCAAACTAAATGAACACAATTACCTTCAGTTTTCTTAAATCTAACTTAACGTGCTTCAACTATCTTCTACGGCTAACTCATCTTGATATTTCCTCAGTCCTACTCGTTTCAATTTTTGTCATTTCACTTTGATCAAACTTCTACAATTTCCCCTCCCAAAAGCCATAACAATAAATATTTTGTGGGACAGAAGAAGTAATTATCATGCAGATTTTGGACACTAATTAAACACGTGGAAATCAAAATAATGGTTTTTGTTTTTATCTTCTTCAATGGATCAATATAATAAACAGTTGGAAAATAAACCAAATAAAGTGATCCAAATATATGGGTGGACATATATAGCTAGAGATATTGAAGTGATGATACGGTGCATGCAAAGCTGGATTACATTATATACTAATATATATACCATAACTAAATAAACAAAACCAATAATATACAATATATATACGGATGGATCGAGAAAATATACAAATCAGATTTTGTGTGCGTACGAGGGTGCATAAATATACGTAAACTGTGAGACATCACCCGTACGTGTATACACTTGAAACAATTATCATTTCGACTGATCAGATTTTGTTTTCTGGTTATATATTACTCCCTCCGTCTATGAAAAAATGTCATGCTTTATTTTTTACACATTCATTTTGTTTTCACCAAATTTCTCATTTATCACGAGTAGAAGTTATTTTAGAGGTATTTTGAATACTTTAAATAAGAATTAAGTGTTTTATGGAATGTATTGAAAATAAAAGTGTAAGCTAAATTCTTTTTAGAGATGGAGGGAATATTATTATTATTATCATGTTGGAGTGAATAATGAATTGAATATCCTTAAAGATACTCACACATGTGACTCCAGATTAAACAAAACAGTTTCCTTGAAGATATACACATTATATATACATGCACGTGCTACAGAACATACACTCGTTCATGAACAATTTGTTTAAGCGAAATAAATAAATAAATAAACACGTACGGAATTGAAGTTACTCAAAAGGTTGAATTTTCCAATTATTATTTAATTGGATATAAATTACATGTCATTGTTGCATGTATATATACGGAGTATTTGTGTATATACTTGATGCTATGAATGTGCCACTAGTGAAAAAAGGGCCGGTAAGAGAGAAGGAGGAGAACGAGAGACTCTAAAATGAAATAAATTAGGAATAAATTAGGAAAATGCTAGGGGTATACTAAAGGTGTACCCCAAATGTCCCTCATCCCCTCCTTGTCCACAAAAATAGGCAAGAAAATTTAAAAAAAAATAAGTAAATAAAAATGAAATAAAAATGAATGGTTGTGGAGGGGATGAGGGACATTTGGAGTACACTTTTGGTGTATCCCTAGCATCTCCCAATAAATTATACTTCCTTCATTCCAAAACATTTTTTTCCAATTAATATTCATATATACGGTCAAATTTTAACAATTTTCTTTATCTAATTTTTGTTTCTTATTTGATAAAATAAGAGAAAAGTGCAATGTTTGAACTTTTTGGAAATTGTATGGTTTATCCCTAAACATTAAAAAATATGTCGTTTACCCTCAAACTCTTTGAAAGTTACACGATTTACCTCTAAACATTTAAAAATGCACCAAATGTCCTTGAACAATTTAAAACATTGCAGTGTTGGTCCTAAAATACTAGATAGGGAGTGTGTTGCTCTCACGCATGGGAAATGCAGGTATGATTCATATGGCCCTTGTGAATTCTCTAAAGTACCATTTTCCAAAATTATCATCTTTATTAAAATGGTTAGAGATAAACCGTGCAATTTCTGAAGAGTCCAGGAGTGCATTTGTTACACTTTTTAATGTTCAGGGTAAACAATGTAATTTGTGAAGAATTAAGGGGTATTTAGTGCACTTCTAATATTCAAGGGTAAATTGTGTAATTTCTGAAAAATTCAGGGGGTAAACGGTGCATTTTCTCAATAAAATAATATAGTCTTGTCACCTCTTGTTTTAGAGAACTTTTGATGTGATTTTTAAATGTATAAATTTTATTTTTTAATTTTATACCTACAATCAAATGAATTGAATTAAAAATAAAGTCGATCAAATTTTGTAAATAGAAATGGGAAGAACTTTATAGGAAGGAGCGAGTACTAATACTAGTTTTAATCCTGTGCTTTGCACAAGCTCATACACATTCTATTTTTTTTATAATAAAATAATAGAGAAAGACCAAACTATGATTAAAGTATATGAAAAGAACCAATATAGTCTAAAAAAATCTATATAATACATACTCTCTTTGTTTAAAAAAAGAATAAACCTAGGATACACCAAAATGAGGTACTCCCTTTGTACACTAGAAAAACACAGACACTTAGCGCCTTTAGATCACTGCACAGACACTAAGTGTCTGTGTTTATCAGTGTTTGCTTGATATACAAATAGACTACCCTATTTTAGTGTATTCAAAAATGGTAATGTTTTGTGGGACGAAGCATTATTATAAGTGAACAACGATCATAAAAAAACAATAATGTAGGAAAATCCCACAAAAGTAAAAATTAGGGAGGAGTGAATGTGTGTGTGTTAACTCATTTAGAATTTTAATATGGTTTGTTAACTCTATAATGGTAATTAACTGAAATTTGTTTTTGGACAAAATAAATATATTTTTAAGTATATTTTTATATAAATTGTGGCATTACAAATCTACAATTGCTGTCTTGTGCTAGTCGGATTCTAGTAGGCAAGCGACTAGGCATCTCGTGTTTGCGCTTTCGGGTTATAATTAGAGAAGAACCCATTGGGCTCGGAGAATTGATCCAAATGTAGCTTGGCCCAAACGAAAGGTCCATTCCGCTATCAATACTCATTATGGTAGCATCTTTTTCCCATTTCAAAATATTTGGCTCAATTTTCTTTTTTATTCGTGACAAAATGATTTTTTCAATTTTTTTGATAAAAAAAAAAAATTATATTCTCTAAGATATTTTTCTCTCTTCTAAATAGATCGTAACCACCCGTATTTCACTTTTTTTATCCTTTGAGTACTTTCATGGTGCACCTTGGGTATATACGATTTTTGTGGATCTTCTCACATAAAAAATCTTATTTTTATTTTTTTTAAAAACTTAAGATTATTTAAATAGTAAGAAAATACTTATTTTGCTCATATGTAAATCTGCGATGAACTTTAAGTCCATAATAGAATTTGCCATATCCCTTTAAACTACTTATGGACATTTCTCTTAATATTTATAAAATCAAAATGAATGAACTATTCTACAAAAGAGTACATAACATTCTTAAGCATAATTTAAATAAATACTACCTCCGTCCCAGAGTATTTGTCCACTTTCATTTTTGCACACCATCCAATACACTTCTTTAATCCATTTTATCTTGTAATTTGTATATTAAAAAATTATAGAAATTATATATTAATAATCTATATGTTAAGACAAATCAAACAAGATCACACATGACTATATTTAGGCTTACACATTGAAAAAATTTGATGAGTCAAAGTGCTTAGATGAACAGTTCCAAAAGTCAAAAGTGGACGAATATAGCAGGACGGAGGGAGTACTCTGTAAATTTTATGAAGATTTGATATATCAAAATTAAAAACCAAGATGAACCTATTTTTATTAAATTTATATTATAATTCAATATATTTTTTTATAATTTGTAGTAAAATAGAATCATTGTTTGACTGAAAAATCTAAACATGAAGAGTTTTCGGGGACGGAGGGAGTAGGACGTTATACTCATCCCCTACTACGTGCTAAATTAATTTTAATTTTATGTTGGTCGAGTTTGTTTTTAATCAACTTCTCACTTCATTCAAAATAAAATTTCACTTTTTTATATCGAGTATGTCTTTAAATAAAATTTTACTCCGTAACTATTTTACATATATGAAATGATTGTGTGGTTGTGTGATTTCTCTTTTCTTCGTACTAATTTAATGGGAAAAAGGTTAAAGTAGGAGCAAAACATTAAAAATATATTAAAATATGATTTCCATGTTTTTTATTTCCGAAATAGGAGTTAAAATGCATTTACATTACCAAACATGATCATATACATCACCAAAAAGTATAGTAATATGCACGTGTAGAGTGCCACATTACAACCACATTAGCACAATACAAAATCTTATTTTCGGAATAAAAACAAAAAACTCCTATTTTAGTACTTTTTTCTATATTTTAATCTTATTTAGATTAAATTCTAGTAAAAAATATGTTTAAAATTTTTTTGGACGAATACACGAACACGATGGCAGTATATATATATGAATCTGGTGTTTTATATTGTGAAATCTAAGTATCAGGATTGCATCAAAATTAGGTGCACCAAAATAGTTTGAAAATGCATCATGTCGAAATGCATCAAAATCCTTTAAAAATGCACTATTTTAAAATCTGAGCGCAGGATGCAATCTGAGTCGCACGATGCATCAGATCCAATGGCTAGATTTTATTCTCAATTTTCTCCACAAGGTGTATTCACACAGGAAGCGACCACTAAAGCACCATAACCAAATGCCCCTTATTCGGTACCGGACCGGTCCCCGTCTGGGTCGGATTTGTCCCGATAAACACCCCTAATATCAAAATTAATACTCCAAAGACACTTTTAAGTCATTATCATTTCCCACAACAAAAAAAATGGATTAAGCTATGTGTATCCCAACATTTATACCTCAATTTGTACCCCGTAGGTTTGCACCAACATTTTGTGTTGGTGTAAAACTAATTTTTGTTAACGCACCAACACTTTATGTCCGTGTAAATTTTTGTTAACGCACCAACACTTGTGTCGGTGTAAACCATCAAAATGTTTGTGCATAACTGTGGTGTACATTTTTTGGTATAAGTGTAGCATGGTCCAAAAAAATTCAATTACATGGTGGAACTTGGAAGGACCAGAAAACGAGCACCTGTCCCAACAGATCTGAGTAGGTGACCAGCGCCTACTTCACCACAGTTCCTCAGTGGAGCTCCCTCTTCGCCGCCTCCGCCGTATCTCTCCACTTCCGAGAAGCCACCAATACCCCGCCCTCACCCGATCCATATCTTCCTCCTCCTCCCCAAACGGCAAACCCGACCGACCGTCTGGTGTGCTTTGCTCCTTCCACTGCTCAACGCCTCGCCACTGCCGGAAAAGGTCTCCAGTCTGAACTTAGGTTGTGCGTATGTTTCTCCGGCCCTTTCCGATGTCCTTTTTGTAATAACATCAATCCTTACTGGTCACTCTGTAAACCCTAACTTAGGGTTTTTTCTGGCGTTACATTGACCACCTAGAACTTCATCACTATTTAGAGTAGTCTTGAAATGAAACTAAACAAATGCATGGCTTATTTTGAGCCTCTATTTGTCTTACCATTCTTTGCTGCTGGTTTTGAAAAAGACTTAGTAGAAAAGACGATTGACTCAACATGAAATGCTATAGTGGCCTTCCTAGAAAAATGCTATAGTGGAAATATGTTGGTTTCTTTGAAGGCCATGCCATGTGATTTTTCGTCTGGGGTTGATTTTCTCTGCTAATACGAGTAGTTATTTGTAAAATGTAGCTCCATTGAAGATTGTTAATGCTGCACCGTTTCAAAGTAAAAAAATGGCTCCAAATCCCAGAGTTTACAAAGCCTTTCGAGCAATGAAGGATCTTGGAATATCGGAAGTAAAGGTGAAACCAGTTTTGAAACACCTTTTAAAAATATATGATAAAAACTGGGAGCTCATTGAAGAAGAGAATTACAGAGCCCTCGCAGATGCCATTTTCGAGAGGGAGGAAGCGGAGGTATTCTCTTTTCATATGTCCTTTTGATGTTTAAATTCCTGTTAGGAGCTTTACTCTCTTTCACTTGTTATTTCTTGTCACATTGCTTTTTTTCCTTTCTAATGTGCATCTTGATTTGTATAAAATGCAGGCTGTGCAACCCAAGAAGCCAGAGAACATTGAAGTAGTGAGATTTCATTTCTAATTGTTTGTCTTTTTATGCTAAAGCGGGATGCTGATTTTATCATTCTAACTGATTCATCCTCTGCCCCTTTCTTGTTCTCCATTATTCTCTCTCTCTCTTACATATAGCCTGTGGGAGCTTTGGACGAAGAAGCAACACTTGAAGAGCCTGAACGACCACTTAAACGACTGCGTTTAAAATATCAGGACAGTCAACCTTCCCCTTCACAACACAACTCGACTCACACTTCCTTGATAAAACCCAAAGTTGAGGTTGAAGATCTGCCCAATGATCATCAACAGAGTAGCTCTCATCTTGGCAGGATGGACATGCCTCAACTCAGTAATCGAGGCATGTCAGTCTCTTCCCAGCCAATTCAAGCCATAAACAAACGAAAGCAACCTTCCATAGATAATCCCAACAAACTTCTAGCACTTCAATCTGCACCTCAGATTACTTCTGGTGCTCTTGCTTTGATCAAGCCCAAGGATGAGCCGTTTACTGATGATATGCCACACTACGAGGCCCCCATTGCAATTCTCCCCCCGGGTAATGTTTAGTTGATGGCGTATGCCACCTTTTCAGTTTAAATATTATCTTGAAATTCATTATTTTTAATGCTTTTCCTCTGGCTGGTTGTGGTGATTCGTGAATTAAATTTGAGTATCATTTCTTTCATCTTTTACAGAACCGGTGACTGAAGTTGCTGCCATTGCATCAAATGGAAACCTTCTAACCGCGGGTCAAGTTGCTCAAGAAGCCTTAGCATCAGAAACCAATATGGGAAAAGATGCTAGGAATGATGTTGCATTGAATCAACAACTGTCAAGGATTGAAGAAGAGAGCCAATCATCTAATCTAGAGATTGCTTCTTCTCGGTATGGAGAAGTTAAGATCTCTATTAATTGTTCTTCTGCACATGGAGGACCTGACTTTCATCTGCCTAGCCTTGAAGAGGTGCTTAAATTGATGGAAGATAAATGTCTGAGAGCTTACAAAATTATAGATCCGGGCTTTTCTGTGACAAAGCTAATGAAAGATATGTGTGAGTGCGTCTTGGAACTGGGGACCAAGTCCTACCATGAAAGGCCGGAAACAACTAATGTGATGTCAGCAGCTATTAATCAGTTGGAAGCAACGCTTATGGAAGATGATGTTTTTGATTCCACATGCAGGCTTCCTGACTCTACAAATGAACTCTTGAACTTTGAAACTGATACAGTTTTGGATCCACCACAAATTCCAAACCTTGCCCCACCTAGCAATGGTGTTCGTGACAATACACTACCCGATGAAAGTTTGTCTGAAAAAAACTGTGCTGAAAATGGTATTGAACAGACAGATCTTCAGAATATGGTTGGGGTTGAGTCATTGAATGCATCTTCTAATGAAAGAATTTCGTTTCCCCACGAGGTTATTGATATTACTAATGGCCAAGAGAAGATGATGATTTCAATAGTGAACGAAGTTGATAGTGAGTGTCCCCCATTGTTCCACTATATACCTCAGAATGCAGTATTTCAGAATGCGCGTGTGAATATCTCTTTGGCACTTATTGGCGATAGTCACTGTTGTTTAACTTGCTCTGGTGATTGTCTGTCACTGTCTGTGCCTTGTGCTTGTGCTCAACAAAAAAATGGTGGTTTTGCTTACACCAAACATGGCCTTGTCAAAGAAGAGCTTTTGAATGAGAGTGTTTCTATGAGCCAGGACCCTGGAAAACATAGCCAGCTCTTTTGCAAGCAGTGTCCTGTGGAAAGATCTAAAAGTGACGATATTTTAGAGGCTTGCAAAGGTCATTTGGCCAGGACGTTCATTAAAGAGTGCTGGTGGAAGTGTGGGTGCAACAAGCAGTGTGGCAATCGCGTGGTCCAACGTGGGATAGTTCGAAAGTTACAGGTCTGACTTTGCACTTAGGTTCATGGATCAAACAATTATTACATTCCATATTTGTTCTCCAATCCGTTGATCTGGACTTCTTACTTTTTGTGTTACACCCTATCGCAAGTTTCTGATTATAGTAAATTTCCTCTTACTACATACATATCGGTTTTAAACCATTTGATTTCATTCAATTAATTTCTCTCTGATTATACATCTTCAGGTTTTTATGACATCTGAAGGAAAAGGATGGGGACTACGTACTCTTGAAGACCTACCAAGAGGTGCATTTGTTTGCGAGTATGTTGGAGAAGTTCTCACGAATGCTGAATTCTTTGATCGTATTTCAAGAAGCCCTAGTGGCGAGAAGCATTCTCATCCTGTGCTGCTTGATGCTGGTTGGGGTTCTGGAGACATTAAGGGCAATGAAGCCCTTTGCTTAGATGCTACACATTATGGCAATATTGCAAGGTTTATTAATCACAGGTAGTGTATATTACACAAAAAAGGATTGCATTCTATGTTCTTTTTTTTTCTTTCATTAATCACAGGTGGTGTATATTACACAAAAAGGATTGTGTTCTATGTTCTTTCATTAATCACAGGTAGTTTTTCTTCTTTCTTTTGGTGATATGCCAGATGCTTTGATTCGAATTTAGTCAATATTCCTGTTGAGATAGAGAGTCCGGATCGGCACTATTATCACGTATGGACTTCTATTGCTTATGCATGTCCCTGTTTTTCTATTTCATAATTTTTATTTTTTATTCAAGTGTGGACTCCTATGTGAGTATTTGTTAATTTGGTGCAGCTTGCTTTCTTCACCACAAGGGATGTTAAAGCAATGGAAGAGCTGACCTGGGTGAGTAGTTGCAACATGTTTGGGTTGTTTGATATTTTTGGATTAGGGAGGAATTTAATACTCCATAATAATCATGACTCAGAACATGTTCTTTTGGGTTGGAAAAATTAACTTCCAACTCCTTTCATTTTCTTCCAAATTCTTCCAGTTTTTTCCAACTCCTTTCACTTTCTCCCAGCTCCTTCGAGTTTCTTCCAACATTAAACTTTATTTTCCCAACCTAAAAGAACAAGCTCTTAGTGCCTACATTATAACGGATGCCTAAATATGTCTTAAGTTATAGCATGTAAGGCTGTTAAAATTGCTTAAGTGCCTATACTTTCTTGACTGAAGTTATATTCACCTCATTTCATATAAAGATTTGCATAAAATTATAAAATAAAATTTACATATTTAAAAACTACATCGAAAGATCTACCAAACAAGAGGTGACATGACTATATTATTTTATCAAATGAGTGATAAAATAGGCAAAGCAAGTAAAAAGTTAAATGAAAGCTCTGAAGATCATGCAAATTGTATATTCCTTGTGTAAGAGGCATAGCTGTAAAAATTTGCTGTGATGTTTTTTTATGTGGATTCAAAAACTCATAGCCTGCTTGTGGTTCAGGCAGGCTATGAGTAAATGCAATTTAAAAACCATTAGGTATTTTTCACTTTTGAGTGAATGCATATCTATTGCATGAATTAGTGCGTGAACCTTATTTATGGTGTTACTGCTCATATGTACGAGTATGGCTTTAACTTATGAGTTGGTTTATTGTTTATTTATGACTTTTTTCTCCCATTCCATTTCTTGGAATTCTATATTTGACATTTCATAAAATCTCATGACTTTGCCAACAGCAGATGCAATGATGCACATTTGCCAATTGCCACTAGTTAGCTGAATTCACAGTTTGTAATGATAAACTTCATGTTAATTTATGCAGGATTATGGGATTGATTTCGATGACCTCGATCATCCTGTGAAAGCATTCCAATGCCAGTGCGGAAGCCAATTCTGCCGGAATATAAAGCGACTAAGTAGTAAGTAGTGATGGTGAAAGGTTACAATGATGCTTTTTTTTCCTCATCCTGCCAAGTCATAGTAAGTAGCCTGATTCCTTGTTAATGTTTTTTTAGGGTCCAGAGGAAGGAGATGAAATATCATTTTTGGGAAAGAAATGCACTTTGTGATGCTGCAGAATCCAAATTTTATTTCCCATCCCTTTGTTTTCACTTTTTGACAGTCTTTTGTGCCTGTGCAGTGTACATTATATGCACCAAGTATTTAAGAAAGGGCATAGCCTAGAGGGGCTTTCTTTCTTTCTTTCTTTCTTTCTTTTGAGTTCAGAACTTGTAGAGGTAGCGACCCTCAAGTCTTAACTCGCGCCTGATGTTTCTATAACTCTATCATCATAACTAATTACTCGGGGACAGAGGTAATATTTTCTTTCACCCCTTGTATATGTGACATTGATGTTCAATGTCATAGGATGATCCGGGGCTTGTATAATGTTTTGTTTGGAAATTGACGATTTTTACCCTTGCCCGCCTGCACCCCCAACCTCCTTCCCTTTGGCTACACTTAGTTCCAAGTACTAGTACAGTAGTACTTCGACCAAAAGTGACACTGTCTTACATAAAGTGGGGCACTGTCTTATACTCCCTCCGTCCCATAAAGTGTTACCCATTTTGACTAAAGTAGAAATTAAGTGATGGATAATTTTGTGTTGACTTTCCAAAAATACTCTTGATGTGATGGGTAAAAGTAGGATGTGATGTGTAGATTATTAGAAAAAAGGTATGATGTGATAGGTAGGGTTTGAAAAAATAAGGGGTAAAAGTGGTTTTTTAATAGAAATGGGTAGGAAATTGTGAGACACAATTTTTTTGAAAGGTGTAAATCTTTTTGGGACGGAGGGAGTATTCAATATCAACCGAACAAATCCATTTTGATTAATAACCTCGCAAGCCATGCTCAATATAATTCGTATTACACCCAAACAACTTTCCATATGTATTTCTCCGATCTTTAGAATGAGATGCCACTGATTGTTTTCTTGAGGAAAACGATGGCATCGATTGTTTGAAGTTATACAACAATGGCATATACTAATCCAAAGATTAAGCACCTCTAAACCTCTCCAACAAGGGCATCCATCCTTAAACTTTATCATATAAATTTTTGAAACCCTGAAACTGTTTTTACATTTTTTTTTTTGCATTTTGAATGGGAGTTCTATTAGACGTATTAACCAAGTCACAGAATGAAGAGTAAAAAAAACAATTGTGGACGAGAAAGAGCCATTGTAAGTTGGATCGGAAGAACACAACGAAGAAGAAGAAAGAAAGAAAGAAGGAATAATGACCTAGTTCACCACCCGTTGGAATTGAAGTGGAATATATTTTGCCTTCCCCGTCCTCTTTCACGCACCATTTTCATTAAGATATTCATTGTCCTTAATAAATGACCGGTAGAATGCTGAATTGTTGAGCTGAGCTCCATCACATGATCTGTGATCCTCTTCATTCGAAGTCTAGTGTAATGCCGATGTTGTTAAACTTGGATTTCTAATTCGTCTTTCTTCAACTGAGAACTATGAGCTAAACAAAATTCAAGTTTAACAACATTGGCTTTACAATTTTAATTTTTTTCTGAATCCGTAGCACCTACGGAGTGAGATGGAATTTGGTCTAAAATATTAATTTGGGATAGCTCACTATTTGGTTTTGTTCATATTTTTTTTTTTAATATTTTCAAAAAATGTTCACTATTCAACAAAAATAAAATTTTTGAAATCATAGTTTTTAGAAATATCTGAATCCTAGTTATAAAATTATTGAATATTTTTGGAATATATTCGACAATTTGTTTTAATGGAATCCTAGTTTAATAAAAAAAAAAATCTTTTAATACATATTTATGATTCTAATTACATACTTGGAAAACGTATCTAAAAATATACTCTGGCTTAGTTTGCGGATAATTTGAAGTGATATGTAAGGGGTCTAGCTAGGGTTTGAATATTATGAATTTTAAATAACAAAAGAGGTTGACCATGAAAAGATTTATTCAAATACCCTTACTAATAAATGTTTAAACATGGAAAATGAGAAGATTAGATTTGGACGGGGAAGAAAAATTTGAGAAAGATTAAATCCAGATAGAGAAAAAGGGAAGATGAGAAGATTTAGTCTGAATAGATGGAGTAATAAATAGATCTATAAATATAATTTTATTAATTTGAAAATAAACATTTTAGAAAGATATCATGTAAATAAAATATTTATAAATGATTCCATCCGTTCTGAAGTAAGACTCCTACTTTGATTTACAATGTTCCACCAAAATTATTTTCAATTAAATATAACTAAAAAAGTGTCTAGAATTTTTTGTCAGCATGAGTCTTATTTTGGGAAGAAATAAGTATTAAAAATGAAATTCAGTTTTAAAAATAATAAATTACAGGAAAATAAAGTATAAAATTCATACTTACAAAATATTGAGTTTAGTAATTATGAATTAGCACTTTTATTAAATATTTTATTTTCATGAATTCTTCTAATAAATAATTATAAATTTTATAAAATTTTAGTTTCAAATTTATAAGATTATATTTATAGTTTTATTTATTACATTTCCATACTAAAAAGTTTAAAATTATTATTTTTATTTTTAATGAAGTTTTATTTCGAAAATAGACAAATTTGAGAAAATATCCACATAGAAAGAACCATTTTGGAAATTAGTACTTCCTCCATCCCTGAAAGGGTTTCTCTTATTGACTTTTTGGAAAATAAAGGGAGTGATATTTTTGTGTTGATTTTCCAAAAATACACTTGATGTGATAGGTTAAAGTAAGATGTGATGGATATATTATTAATAAAAAACTATGATGTGATATGTAGTGTATGAAAAATTTAGGAGTAAAAGTGCTTTTTAATAGAAAAGAAAACTTCTTTTGAAGACAACAAAAAAATGAAATGGAGAGATTTTTTAGGGACTGAGAAAGTATAAGTTTTAATGTCACCATTTTGACAATAGTTAGGAAATTAAATTGAGCATTATATTATCCTCAATTAAGGAGTTCTTCTCGATCATTAATTTACCTTAGGGACTAGGAGCGCGCCTCCTCCACGGCTCCACGTTGTGGTTCTTAAGACCCGACCATGTTAGATATATATCTTCAAAAACAAAGAGAAGAAAGTTTACGATATATTCGTAATAGAAATTAATATAATCCCTTCATTAATATAATTTTATTTCTTATTAGTTACACTGTTAGATACTTTGATCATTAATATATATAGTTTTAAATAAATAAATGTTACAAAATATAAAAATTTGATGTATCAAAATGAAAAATTTCCTAAAAATGATCAGTAAGATGATATGAATATATCAAAATTAAATAGGTAATCCTTAAAATAGGAGTACACACTAGCATACTAAAAATAGAACTGCCACACTGCCATAAGTCAAAGTGCTATTCGCCGCCGTCACATTTTTACCGGCCCACGCTGTATGGGAGTGGAGCATCAACATCTGTCACCGTAAGTATTGGATCGCTATCTCAAGAGCGTCGGTACGTGCTGACCGCCGTTAACCGAGTAATCCACCACTGCAGTCACCACACTATTACTTATCACAATGCAAGAGTACTCTCATCACACTCATATATATATAAATAAAATTGTAGTGTTACTCTTGTTTTATTTTTTTCATGTCATTTTACTTCTATCGAGGTACACACATAGATAAACTATAGATTTTGTTTAAAATGAGAATGATATATAGTTGGAGAGACTAAAAAAATATTTTGATACATGTGTTTTATTAAGGCATGCAAACAAGTGAATACATAGATCCGTCAGTTATTAATGAGGCATGGTAAAAAAGATTGGGTAGTGGTCGCACCTAATTATACGTGGACAAGACGTGCACTTGCATATTACGGAGTAATTACTTGAGAATATTTCCCACGTCTTGACTTAGCTTTTGAAGTCTAACATATTTATCTTTCGACTTATAATAAAATAAAAAGTAAATGATGTATTAATTAAAAATAATACTACCTCCAGTCCCAGAGTATTTGTCTACTTTCATTTTTGCACACTATCCAATGCACTTCTTTAATCTATTTTATCTTATAATTTGTATATTAAAAAATTATAGAAATTATATATTAATAATCTATATGTTAAGACAAATCAAACAAGATCACACATGACTATATTTAGGCTTACACATTGAGAGAGTTTGATGAGTCAAAATGCTTAGATGAACAGTTCCAAAAGTCAAAACTGAACGAATACTCCGGGACGGAGGGAGTAATATTTAGAATTGTGGTAATCTTTTGGCTATGAATTTTGGGAGTAAATTAATTTCTAATAGTTCATGGTCAATAATTGTCTAGTTTTGGAGAGCACACATATGCTAGCTATGCTCCAAAAGTATTTTTCCCAATTTTGACTTTTCTAAAAATAAAAATTACAAACCTTAACAGAAAATTAAATAAAATTAATATTAGGTATTGAAACAAAAATAATTTATTACATTAATTTTTTAAAATATTGTTTTATTTCATTAATGTACCACGTAATATGTAGATACTATAATTAATTATATTTCAGATGTTGATTCAAAGTAATTCAAAAAGTTAAAACTATACAAATATTATGGGCAAGGTACAACCACTATCGGGCCTATATATAAGAATGGACCGACGGAAAGGCAATTAGAGAAAGGAAAAATTGACAATAATACTCCCAGAAATTACAGATTTTACATAAATACTCCCAAATTTGTTTATTACTCCCACATTTTTCTTTTATTTACATCATTGCTCCCAAATTTGGTAGTGATCATTAGTGTTACTTGGATGCGTTTTTTTGCGCTAAGTGAGCAGTTAAAATGCATACATGTATTTTTTTCACTCTAAGATACCAAATTCACCTCAACTTATTCTCTCTATCGACTTTCTCACGTCTTAGTAAGCTTAATCATTGTCCTTATTTCCATCACTTTTTTTAAAAAAAATTTCAGATTTCAAACTTCCTAAATCTTTTTAATGTTTAATATCAAGTCTGTTCATATTAATTTAATTTGAATTCAATAAAAAAAGATTAAGAACCCTGTTTAAAAAAATGCACCCGAGGAACACTGATGATGAAGCAATCACAGAGTAACGACGTAAATAATAGACAAATGTGGGAGTAACTATGTAAATAAACAAATTTGGGAGTATTTATGTAAAACTTGAAAATTCTGGGAGTATTCTTGTGAATTTTGCCTTAGAGAAAAAGAGCTCTTTCATTATAAACATAAGGGAAAGAAGAAGAAGAAGAAATTGATTGAGAAGATGCAGATCTTCGTGAAAACGTTGACGGGGAAGACAATCACTGTTGATTTGGAGAGCCACTTGGACTCCATTGATGACGTCAAGGTCAAGGTCCATCTCAAAGAAAGTATGCTCTTATATATATACATACATATACAGAGTCTGTTACATTGATGATGAGATTATATATCGTTCATTTTCTCTATAGATATATCTCTACGTGCAAAAGTATATTGTTTTGGGTAAATATATAATGTTTGTTAAAATGTGTACAGGAATTCCACCGGAGGAGCAGCGGTTGATCTTTGCCGGAAAACAGCTTGAAGACGGAACAACCCTTGCTCACTACAACATCCACAAAGGTTCTGCATGCGATTGATTATACTCCCTCCGTTTCTCAAAACGGTTACTCTTTTGACTTTTCTTTTGACTTTGGAGAAAAATAAGGAAATTGTAATTTTAGTTGACTTTACAATTTTGTTCCTGATATAATGGATAAAAGTAAGATGTGATAGTTTAGTTGTTAGTGAAAAAATATGATGTGATAGGTAGGGTATGAAAAAGTAGGGGTAAAAGTGGTTTTTTAATAGAAAAGGGAAGTGTTTTAAGAAACGGACTTTCATGTTTTTTTCCGAAATAGGACTTTGCACTGTGGTTATGTGACTTTGCATTGTGGTAATGTGGCAGTGTAAATGTGCAAATTACTATACTTTTTTTGTAATGTATATGACCATGTTTGGTAATGTAAGTCATATTTCGAGAATAAAAACATGGAAGTCCTATTTTGGTATATTCTCAATGTTTTAGTCTTAGTTTGGTCTTTCTCCCATAAGAAAAACAAAAAAAATGAAAGAGGGAGAGTTTTAAGAGACGGAGGGAGTATTTGCAACAACTCCAATTCTTAATTAATTATGTACCTTCAAAAAATATACTTCTATCTTCTCACAAAGTCATTATTTTTAATTTTTAATAGATTTAAGAAAGATATATTTTTGTTTCTATTAACTTTCCTAAATTACGCTGGATATGATGTGGAAAGATATGATTTGATAGATATAGAGTATTAGTCAATATATAATATGTATGCAATGGTAATAATTAGTAAGTATAAACGTGTTTTTAGGCACATTATCCGGAGAAAGAGTTTGTGGGAACTTTTTAAAAAAATGTAATGTTAAAAAGTGAAAAACTATAAAAATGATTTACATGAAGAAGGAATATAATTAATTTGTACGGTGTTATTGCAGAATCAAGCCTGGATCTGATGCTGAGACTTAGAGGAGGGGGGCGTGGGACGATCACCATCGAACCTACTCTTAGGGCATTGGCTGAGAAATACAATCAACGCAAGTTAATTTGTCGCAAGTAATAATTAACTCGCTAGCTCCTTCTTAATTTTTTAGGGAGTAATTTTTTTCACAATCTTAAATAATTATGTGTCTTGTATAATAATATTGCTCATATTTCTTTTTTCTTGTTTTTAATATCTTGGGATCGGAGTAGGTGTTACGCTCGTCTTCCTCTGAAATCGACAAACTGCAGGAAGAAGAAATGCGGTCACAGCAATGAGGTATATGTACGTTTATAAATAGGACTAATTAAAAGCATTATATAATTGAATTGGTATATTAATATTGTTCCAAAAAAAAATATCATCATCTTTTTTTAAACCAAAATATGATCGAATAAACATGGACAATGTCATCGATCCACACATTATTACACCTGCTTCACTATTATTGTTTACATTATAATCACTATTTATATATAAAAAGAGTTTCAAGTCCTACTCCATTTGCCAGTTAATTGAACGTTACACTTTACTATAAATTTAATTGTTTTTAAATATATAAATGTTGTAAAATTTTGATATATTAACACTATATCTTAAGATAAACATAATTGTATTAAATTTTTATTATAACTAAATATTTTTTTCGTATTGTGTACTCAACAAGTGTCCCACTACAGTTTCACAAAAAAAGTTATATTTATATACGGAGTAATATATTCATGTTAGACCAAAAAATTTTGTTGTTGCAGTTGAGACCCAAGAAGAAGTTCGATCGAAATGATGTATTAGTGCCGTAGCTGCATGCGTATATATATGAATATGAATATGCATGGAGTACGTGTGGTCTTTATATGTTTACTTATTACAATTAGTAAGGGGTAATTTGTGTAATAATGTCTTTGACAAAAGTATGAGACTCATTTTTGTTCCTACGTCGTAGTTTGTAATGCCAATTTAGATTATTTGCATTTTATCATGTCTCTCAAGCTCAATGCAAGTACATTAATTGTAGTTCAATGACATTGTTATGACTCTCCCAAATGAGAGCTTACGTGTTTGATTCCCAACGCGATTGATAACTCTATAAACTTTAGTAGGTTGGGAATGTATATGAACAGATAGTATATTGTAATAGAGTTATTAGTGTTGCCCAAAAAAATATGTCACGGACAACGTCAAGACAAGCTGACAATACATGCTAATTATAGTCAATTGCGTGTCTTATTGAAACTCAGTAACAAATACTCCCTCCGTTCCACAAAATTCTTCCGGTTTTGACTTTGGGGAAAAATAAGGAAAGTGTAATTTTGGTTGACTTTCCAATTTTGCCCCTGATGTGATGAGAAAAAGTAAGATGTGATAGTTTGGTTATTAGTGAAAATGTATTATGTGATAGGTAGGATATGAAAAAGTATGGGTAAAAGTGGTTTTTTAATAGAAAGTGGAAGTGTTTTGTGGAAAGCAAAAAAAAACGAAAGAGGAAGGGTTTTGTGGAACGGAGGGAGTAACAAAATTTAAAAATTCTGGACACTTTTGTCAAAGTGTTTGTCACGGTACCGGCGGTGACAAATAAAGAAATTTAAAAATGTTATTTTTTGGATCCGTATTTGTCACGAATGTTGTCACCACATCTAACGCCGTCCTTTTGTCACAGGAATATAATTGTCACGACCTTGGCCTTGACAAAATTTAATTTATTTTACCATGCAAAGTTTTGCAGCAAAGATTGACAAAGTCCGTGAGAAACATTGTCACGGCGAAATCCCCGTGACAAATTCGTGTTTTTTGTAGTGAGAAATTAAAAATATAAAGAATCAAGTTGACAAATCGAGTAAAGTTTATTTAAAATTTGTATAATTCTATTTAAACAAATTAAATTAAAAATAATCAAGGCATGAGAGCAAGTGTATGTATGTATTGATGCGTGTGTTATTATTACTAAGGGATGCAAAAAAGATTGAGCAGAGGTTGCAAGTAAACGTGGCCAACACGTACACTTGGATTTCAAGTATTATTATTTCCTGTTTTATTTTTCATTTTTTTTAGCAAGCGAAAAAAAAAACACTTGGGCAGCACGCATATTTAAATTTGTACGAGCCATATCCGATTCCTCTCTCTCTATATATACTAAGACTGGACCGACGAAAAGACTGCGAGAAGAAAAGAAGAAAAAAAAAGAAGAGCTCTTTCATTATAATTAAGATTTTCATTATAATTAAGATGATGCAGATCTTCGTGAAAACGTTGACGGGGAAGACGATCACTGTTGATCTGGAGAGCCACCTGGACTCCATTGATGACGTCAAGGCCAAGATCCATCTCAAAGAAAGTATGATTTCATTATTTATTAATTTCTATATAGATCTCTCTATATATAATAAGTTCAAAAAATTGTTTGGGTCTTTTTTTTGTTTGTTTGGTAAGTATATAATAATGTGTGTTTGAATACGTGCAGGAATTCCGCCGGAGGAGCAGCGGCTGATCTTTGCCGGAAAACAGCTTGAAGACGGAACAACCATTGCTCACTACAACATCCACAATGGTCCGGCCGCCGGTCTTTATTTAGCTATTTAATGACTGATGAGTGCTCCATTTCTTAGTGAATTAATTAATATACCTTCCAAAAACAATTAATAATTGCAGAATCAAGCCTGGATCTGGCGCTGAGACTTAGAGGAGGGGGACTCGGGAAGATCAACATTGAACCCACTCTTAAGGCACTGGCTGAGAAATTCAAGCAGCACAAGTTAATCTGTCGCAAGTAATATTTACTAATTTATTTATTTTCATAATATTTAAATTTATTGCCCATATTTTATTTTTAAATTTTCCTGTTTGTAATAATATGTAGGTGTTATGCTCGTCTGCCTCTGAAATCCACAAACTGCAGGAAGAAGAAATGTGGTCACAGCAATGAGGTATGTACCAAAATATGGTTTAATTTCATCCCCTCATTTTTTTTTAAGATCTAAAAAGAATTTCAAATCCTATTTAGATAATTTATACTCCCTCCGTCCCAAAATATTCACAACATTTGCTTTTTCAGCAGTGTCGAGAACTTTTGTTTATTTCGACGTTTTCATTGATTATTTGATAAAATAAAATATTCTTGACACCTCTTATTTCGAAGAACTTTTCATGTAGTTTTTTTATATGTAAATTTTATTTTTTATTTCTTTACCAATATGTAAATAAAATGAATTAAAAAACTTGATATTTTGCCTTGGGAATACAAATGTGGCAAATAATTTGGGACGGAGGGAGTATAAATTCATGTTTGGCCCAAAAACTAATTAAAAATAATACTCCGGAGTAATATTTTTTTGTTGTTGCAGTTGAGGCCCAAGAAGAAGCTCGCCCAAACTCAATTGACCTAGATGCATTCCAAGGAGTGTATGATGATGATGTCAGCGATTGAGTCTCTTGTTAGGTTCAATTCGGTCGTCTTTTAATATCTATTTACAATAATTAGTGAGGGGGTGATTTGTGTAATAATGTCTTTGACAGAGTATGAGATCCTTAAATTAGCTTTGTTTGTTTGTTCTAATTGCGTCGTACGGAGTCCTTTGTAATGCAAATTTCGATTATTTGCATTTTATCCCATATATATATATATATTTACATGTGTCATCCCTTTAATAGTACGTTTCAATTTGAGATGAATTTCAGGGGCCAATATTATTGTATTACTATTCACACTCTTTGCATTCCCCAAATTTCAATTCGATTCTTCATTCGTAGCAAACTAATCATTTTAAGCCACATTTTTTGGTCAAACTCTCGCACCCTTTGAGTGCGAAATATGAAAAAGTATATTTACTTATGTCAATTTTGTAAAATTAAGATTATTTTAAAATATATCTTTGAAATATCAAATTGTTAACAAATTTAATTGTTTTAAACTATATTTAGTTTGTGGTCAAATAGTACTACAATTTGACAAAAAAAAGTATAACTGTGGCAATTGTTTTTGGCAATTTGACCAAAAGTAGATGAGAGAAGTATAAAATTTATTTTAAAGCAATTCGAAAAATTCAAATATTACTGTATTCTATAAGAAATCATTCTAATTAAATAAGAGTAAAATATATAGAAAAGTATTATGTTAAAATAGAGGTTCCAATGATTTTATCCTCAAACTAGGAACTTGCACTGGGCAATGTGACATTGTATATGAATATTTTTACGACACTTTTATATTGTGTATGTGGTCATGATTGTCACTGTAAGTGTCCTTGACTCTTATTTCGTAAATAAAAATATAAAACTGATATTTGATATATTTTCAATGTTTTACTCTTAGTTTTGTTCTTTTCTAATCTTCTATCGATCCCTCATAAAATTATCCCTTGGTAGCGAAATAAATCAATTCACAATTATCCGTATTTGAATATCTTAAAATGAGTGTTAAAATCTTTTAATTTCCTTTCATTACATACACACTTTTAAATTTTAAAAATTTTCTTATAATTCGTAAATTTATACAACTAAAATTATTTGGGTGGGAGAATTTCCAAGTCAATAATATGTCAATAGAATGGATATTGGAGAGATAGCATGCAACGTTGTGAAACAGCGTATCAGTATACGAAAAACGTGAGGAATGACTTGATAAACTTAGCGAATTGCGTATATGCACTTTCAAATTAAAGTTATTTTAGAGTATAAAATTTTTCGATCACCTCTCGTAACATACCAAGATGCCATATTTATATGAAAAATCCGAACGGACGCGTTGGTTGATGAAATAACAAATTTTCGGGTAACATCAAATGTTAGTGCTGTAACATTTGAATGTTTTATGGCCCGTTTGGCATCAGCGTTAGAGATTAGCGTTAGCGTTTTGAAAAGGCTATCCGACGGTAGCCTTTAGCGTTAGTATTTTCTGAATTAATCTACACCGTTAATATTTTATCCAAAACGTTAACGCTAATTGAAAACGTTCTTTCCAAACAAAGCGTATATATGGCGGACTATGTTGAACTCGTTAACAACTTTTATTCTCGTTTAGTAAATCTTAATTATATAAAATGGTCTATTACACTAAAATCACCAACATATATTATTGTCATCCCTCTCTGAGTTTAATTAATTCTTTCCTTATATTCACTACAAAGAAATTTGTAACATAAATGCAAATGATGAGAATTAAAGATTGCAATAACTTCCGTTTAGTGCTTCACAATCTTATTACCTTTACGTGGCCAGCACACAAAAAATTGGGATGGACCGGTCAATTGCACCCCGCACGTAAACGTGCCCACCACGTACGTTCACAGATTTAGTTACTCCATTTTTATTGTCTCTTAGTTATTTCATTTAATTCTATCCATTTGAGCCAAAAAATGGAAAATAAAAACACTTGGGCATCACGCCAAGAGCAGCTATACCTATATATATAGACTGCCAATACCGCTAAGAGAGACTGAGAAATTAGAACAATAAAATTGAATTATTGAAGAGGAGAGGAAGAAGAAGAAGAAGAAGATGCAGATCTTTGTGAAAACTTTGACGGGGAAGACTATCACTCTTCAAGTGGAGAGCAGCGACGCCATTGACGAAGTCAAGGCCAAGATCCACGACAAGGAAGGTATATATTCTTCGTTTGGTTCGATTATTCATCCATCTCTGTTTAAAAGCTTTCTGGAAAAAATTAAATTTCGGCGATGATTTTTTTATTCTGATTATGTGTTCTTATAATCATTATGCACACTGAGTGCAGGAATCGAACCCGAGCAGCAGCGATTGATCTATGCGGGAAAGCAACTTGAAGACGGAAGAACCTTGGCGGACTTCAACATCCAGAAAGGTTGAATTTGGAGTTTTTGATTTTTTTTCAACCAATTTGGAACTGAAGAAATACTCCAAAGGATATGTACGATTGATTTGGGGATTGAATATTGGAATGCGGTTGTTTTTGTTGTTGATGCAGAATCGACGGTTCATCTGGTGCTGAGGCTTCGGGGAGGAGGCCGCGGGATGATCAGGATCGAGCCCAATCTCAAAGCTCTGGCACTCAAATTCAATCAGGACAAGATGATCTGCCGCAAGTACGTATATATATGCTATATACACTTGAATTTGAACAACTGCTAGCAAATAAATATGTGTGTTTGATGATGATATATATGAATTTGTTCGTTAATAGGTGTTACGCTCGTCTTCCTCCCAAGGCCACCAACTGCAGGAAGAAGAAATGCGGTCACAGCAATGAGGTAATTCTAAATATTCGCCCAATTTAATCTATTCTGTGTGCAGTGTCTTCTTCTTCTTCTTCGTCTTGTGGTTTTGGATCTCCATATAATACTGTTGTGGTTGCAGTTGAGGCCGAAGAAGGTAATGGATAAGTACCAGCCGGTGTAGATCAGAGTTCTCCTGGCTAGCTTCGTTCCGATCATCCGCCGGAGTCTCCATTACGCCGGCGGCCGGCCCAATTAAATATCGATCGATTCCTCTTTTCTTATACGGAGTATTCATTCTGCCACTTTTTAGTCTCTAACGTTGGGGTGGCATTAATGTTTTACTCCGTATTTGTTTGCTAAGTCGTCCTTTTACTCTTCAACTAATGAATGATTCGTGTTTTATCTCTTGTTATTGCTTCCCTTAATTTATTACACCCTCCATAATACGAGTAGTATTTCATTCTAAAAAATGCTTGATATTAATTCGTAGTTAAAAAAATGTTTTTCTCTTCGGTACATTGCAATTGTAAAGCACTCCTCTACCACTTTTGTTCTCATTTAATTTGATTTTTTAAAACAAAAAATGCAACAATTTTGCCTCTCCAATTAAGGACTTTATGGTCACCAATGTAATAATTTACTCGGCAAACCGCTTTGTTGAAAGGAAAATGATAGGGGTACACCAAAGATGTACCTCATGTGTCCCTCACCCCTCCTTGTCCACTAAAAAAGGCAAAAAGATTTTTAAAAAAATAAGTAAATAAAAATCAAATAAAAATGTGTACGGAGAAGGTGGTGGTGTACATTTGGGGTACATTTTTTGGTGCACTCCTAGCATTGCTCTTGTTGAAATTATGTCCATAGACCGGCCTTGATATTATTAATGCATTTTGAACTTTTGTACGGAATTAGGGATGATACTCTAAGAAAGTTATAGACATAGGCACTAAAAAACTGAATTCCAAATGGAATGCTCAATCTTTACTTGTAAAATTCAAAAAGGATTCGGGTGCGAGAGAGCTTTGGGGATGAGTCTCATTCTTTTTTTTTTCAAAATGAATTTAGAAAAAGCTCGTACAAGAGAAGAAGATAGAAAAAGTATACTGCCCAACCTAAAATAACATTACATTCATTTTTTATTGATCATTTGATAAAATAAAATATTCATGTCATATCTTATTTTACAGATATATGATGTACTTTTAAAGTATGTAATTTGTATACAGTACTTTTTATTGGTATTTTAATTTATAAATAAAATCATTTTAAAAATATCAAATACTGAAATATTTTTATAAAAAAATGAAAAACGTGTAAGTGAAACTTAATACGCGCGAATAGGTAACTCAAGGTGTTAACAAAATTAGAAGAGGTGAAAAAATGTTTAATATTTCAAAGAAAATGTTTAAATATATAAATGATTAGCTATATATTGTCAATGATTTTCTTAATTTAATTTTTTTATGTATATATAAATTGTAATACTTTAATTTAATTTAAATTAAATTTAAATTCATTAACACAAGTTCTAATTAAATAAAATCATATTGAATCAGATCAGATAAGATTCAATTAGATCAAGCCTAATCAGATGAGATTTAATCAAATCAGAACTTCAAAAATATAAAGATTCAATCAGATCAGGCATACAATACACCCTCACTACATGGCCTATTTGAGTTAATTTGGGAATGATTTTTTTGGTGTGACTTAATATTAATTTACACAAAAAGAGAATATTATAATCAAAATACAATCATGTCACACTTACACCAAAAGTTGTACCTGAAAGTTACACCAGATATATACTCTAACATTTTGATAATTCACTCTGATAGTAAATGTTGGTGCGTTCACTAACATTTTGTGCCTGTGTAAACTATCACTCTAACATTACACTGACACAAAATGTTAGTGCAAATCTACAATATACAAATTGGGATACAATTCTTAGAGTACACATAGCTTAATCCATCAAAATAAAATGGGGGTAGTTATTTTCTAATTCATTGTTGGAAAATGTTAGGGGTACACCAAAAGGGTACCCCAAACATCCCCCACCCCCTCCATAACAACACAAAAAGGCAAGTAAAACTTAAAGATAAAATAAAAAATGAAAATAAAATAAAATACTCCCTCCGTCCCGCTATATTCGTCCACTTTTGACTTTTGGAACTGTTCATCTAAACACTTTGACTCATCAAATTCTCTCAATGTGTAAGCTTAAATATAGTCATGCGTGATCTTGTTTGATTTGTCTTAACATATAGATTATTAATATATAATTTCTATAATTTTTTAATATACAAATTACAAGATAAAATGGATCAAAGAAGTGTATTGAATGGTGTGCAAAAATGAAAGTAAACAAATACTGTTGGATGGAGGAAGTAAATGATAAAGAGTAAGGTGGTGTACACTTACTAGGAAACTACCAGGATTACACCACTTTTGGTGTACCCCTAACATTTTCCTTTTAAGTTCCTACACGAAATTGAGAATAACAAAATTTTAATTAAAGAGTTTGTAGGGCTTCAAAATTAGAAACCCTTCCAAAAATTCTCAAAGGCTTAGGACGAACCCAAGCCGAAGAGGGGGTTTGGAAATAGTTTTCAACCAGCAATAGACGCGCCTCGGTTATTACCTCACTAGCTGCGTCATTGCCCCAAGCGCAAAGATGGTTTTGCTAAGCGCATCCGCCTCTCTGTTTTATAATGGCTTTACCCCATTCCCTTTACGCTACTCAATCGGTGTGGGATCATTACCCACTACATCAGTTTATTCCCAAATCCTCAGAGAAAACTGAAAAGTTGATTCTCTTCTTCCCCTCCCTCCGTTCTTGAATGTTTTTGAGCGATTTATTATATTGCTGTTATGTTGTTTATTATTTTCTGGGTGAATGATTCAATTCATTACTGGAGTTGCAAGAATCCCTGATTTTCACCCGTAGAGAGTGTTGCAGAAGAAGAAAGAAAAGAGTAATGGAAGGGGGTGGGGCAGATGAGAGTGGGAGCTCGTCAGTGGCCTCACTGGTGAAGTAGAGAAGGGAGTTTTCCAGGAGGTTTCAGTACTACTTGGACAGATCTGTTCCTTATACGGCTGAGAGGTGGATGGGAACCCTAGCTGCTCCGTCCATTTATGTGCTTCGAGTTTATTGTGTCCGTGGCTTTCATATCATATCCTATGGTGTTGGAACCTATCTCTTGAATCTGCTGATTGGGTTCCTGTCCCCGAAATATGATCCTGAGCTTGAAGCTCTGGATGGTCACACCAGAGATTCTGATGAGTATAAGCCGTTTGTTCGCCGTCTCCCTGAGTTCCTGCTGTGGTGCGTCCATTCTTGATCGTGTTGCAGTGTTGTATTATGAATAAGCTTCCAAATTTATTGGGTTTTTGCTTCACTAGGGTTAGTTTCACTTGTTAGATTACCTTTTCCAATCACATTTTCTATCATACTCTCTAACACTATGTTTGGTTCAAGGAATTTGAAAAGGAAAAGAAAAGAAAATGCATGTGAAAAACCATTTCTCTTGTTTGGTTAGAGGGGAAAAGAAAGGAAAAGTGGAAGGAAAAGAAAATGAGGAGGCAAAATGTACCAAGTGGAGGAAAAACCAAATTCCTTCCATTTTGGTGAGGAAAATGAGAGAAAACCACTTTCTTTTCTTTTCCTTCCAAAATCCTTGAACCAAACATAGTGTAAGGGTATGTTTGGATCATGGGAAAGGTCAGGGAAATGGTAAAAGAAAATGCCAAGGAAAGCTATTTTCTCATGTTTGGGTTTATCTTTGATTACATGAAAGAGCATAAGAATAGTTGATTTTTCCAAAGGTAGTCTTGCATGGGGGAGATTCTACCTAAAGTACTTACAAATTTGTAAATGATGTGTTTCTAGTAGCCACTTTTTTGTCTATGCCATGCTGAATGCAGTATGGTTCTTATGATGCTTACTGCTAATGAAACACAGATTTGTGGATATGGTTCCTATAGAGTAGTCTAATGGATTGGGATGTTCAAACTGGACTTGTTCTTACCTAAATAAGATGGTGTCCGTTCTTCAAAAGGTTATTTGCTTATTTGCTTATTTGCTCTTCCTTTTCTATGCTACAATTTCAGGTATGCGACCACAAAGGCATTCGTTGTAGCATTTTTCATGACCTTCTGTTCCGTATTTGACATTCCGGTTTCCTGGCCAATATTGCTTTGTTATTGGATTGTACTTTTCGTTCTCACCATGAAACGACAGATAACACACATGATCAAGTACAAGTATGTGCCCTTTGGCTATGGAAAACTGGTGAGATCTCTTGTTTCCATGAAGGGTTAATAGATTTTTCTTTGCTGTGTTCTTTTTTATTTTTCCTTTTCTTTCTCATTCCCTCTTTGTTGAAAACTGAATGCCTAATGAAGCAGTGTTGAATTATGACAGAGATACACTCGGAAGAAATCTGCTGCAAGCAATGTTGGCTCATCAAGTGATTGAAATTTGCCGAAGAACACACCTTGTGTTTTTTTTTTGTGTCCTTTTGTTTTTTGCAAATCCACCCCACTCCTGCAAAAGAAATAAGTTGTGGAATGGAATGTAGATTCCAAGCACTTCTTACAATGGAAGGAGTGAAGGACCTGCCACTACATTGTCGTTGCTGGTCTAGGAGCCAGATAAAACTGCGGCGGTGCACTACTTCGTCCAAGGCGTCGGCGATCCTGGTGCGGTAACACAATAGCAATGATTTTTTTTTTGAGTTCAAGAGAATGAAAGCACCATACGATAACGTATCGCGTATAGGAGAAAGATTGAGAAATTTGAGGAAAAAGATGAAGAATTGAGAGAAGAACAAGATATGAGAAGAGATGGAGATGAGGGAGAAGAGAAGGTGCGGAATGGCTAGAGAAGGGTTTAGGAGTGATAATATTATTGTTCTTCATTGATGATCAATCTAAAGAGAGGTTACAACTCAATATATAGAGGTTACAACTCAATAAAAGTGTCGAGGTTAAGAACAAAAAAGAAACTCTCGAAAGAGTATTATAATTCCACTCAATAATAAAAAATAAATATAAATAATTAAACTACTCCCTCTGTCCCACAAAACATGACCCATTTTGAATAGTATTTGGTCAAACAGTTACACGCTTTGACTACAAATTATGAGAAAAGTATATTGAATTATAGTATAAATTTAATATAATTGAATTCATCTTAGAATCTAGTTTTGATATATCAAATTTTTATAACATTTCTTTATTTAGATTATATTTAATTTATGGTCAAAACGTGTAACTGTTTGAACAAAAAAACATCAAAATGGGTAATGTTTTGTGTGACGGGGGAGTATTAAAATATATAATTAACCGAATGATATAAATTACTTGAGCAGCAGCAATTGATCTATGAGGGAAAGCAACTACTTGAAGAAGACAAAGTTGGGTGGAATTTAATTTTGTCGTTTGATTTAAATTATCAAACAGCTGATCGATTTCGGGATTGAAATGGTAATAATATGTAAAGAAAGATTTGAATGTGATGGTTTTGTTGTTGCAGAGTCGACCCTTCATCTGGTGCGGAGGCTTCGGAGAGGAGCACGTCATGAACTGATCAGAGGATCGAGCCGTCTCTTAAAGCTTTGGCACAAAAATCCAATCAGTACAAGATGATCTGCCGCAAGTATATATATATTTTACACATTAATTATTACATTCATCAATCATCATATAACATACTTCTTTCTTATATATATATTCAGTCCCAATTTATTCTTCTCGTTTGAAAAAAAAAGTGTAATATCTCATCTATTTACAAATTGCCATACAAATAAAAAAGTACGTAGTATAAATTATACGTATTCAATGTAATGATGAATATGCAGGTGTTATGGTCGTCTTCATCCCAGGGCCACAAACTGCAGAAAGGAGAAATGTGGTCACACCAATTAGTACTACCATAATATTCGGTTGGATTTCCACTTGCCCTCCACCGGCGAATAATTGAACAAACCGTTCATTATTGCACAGTTGAGGCTGAAGAAGATATGGACGCAATGAATTTAAGCATCGGTAGAAGGGAAGCAGATGGAACCTATTTTCTGATGTATTACACAAAAACAAGGTCGGGCAAGAAAAATTCAAAAAGTTACGGCTTGAGCAAAAATTTGTTCAAGTCCCATTTTCTTTTGTATTCCGTATAAATTAGCTAGGTCATGTTTTCTTCACCTCCTTCATTGATTAGTTTTGATCAGATTGAAATAAGTTCTGATCTAAATTTGATCTGATAGGAATACAGTTATATTTAAAATTATTTTTGATCTAATCTGATTCCAATAAAAATAAGTAATAAGTAAAAAAACAAGTTGTGGAGAACATGGTCTTAGTCTTGTTTTGAAACTAATTATTGTTGAATTTGACAATGAATTACTGAGTTTGTATTTCACAATGTTACTCGGGGTATTTGGCAAGTTAAGTCCTTTTATTCTTGCTTTTATTAATTTAGATTGAATTTCCAAACTGATTTTTTTTATTATAATATGTGTGCTTTTCCAGATATGTCTTCAATAAGCAATGATTACCTACGTGGTATTTTATATTTGAGATTCATCCTTTGATAGTTCCTTGTAAGAAAAAGATACATCAAATGATTATTATTAAGTGTAGTTATTTTGTTAGTTTTCATCATTTAAACTATGTGAAAGTTTTCGAAATAATTTTTCTCAATTTAAATATTTTTCCAAATCGTCTATATGAGGTTATAGTTATCATATCACTCCAAATGTTGGAAGATTATTGTGAGAGAAAAATTTAATTATAAACTACCATATATGTGTTGATATGGTTTATAAGGAAGAGTTGAAAGCTTCGTGAAAGAAAGTGGAACCAGAGGAAGATGAACAGATTCTCAAACCTGTCAGCGTCAGACCGGCAGTAGTGCACGAAGCAGTCCATGTAAAGAATGTTAAGGAAAGCGGAGTCGTCGAAGCTTTTTTTAAGGGTAGCACCGCACGGCGCATGCCTCCTAGGCAACATGAATGATCTCCTCACAGGGTAAAACCACTAATGTGCAAAGTTTAGAGCGGTAGAACAGTGCATCGACGAATTGGAACGAAGTGAAACTACTCGCCAGAATTTGGCCGAAACGACAATCATAAAGTGCAAAATGTTGGAACGTATGCGGAGAAGGAGATTAGTTCGAGTGAGTTTCTTTTCTGCAACGATGTATCGGTTGAACTCTAGACGCACTTTGAAAATCCATTGAATTTTCAATACTATTAGATTTTGATGAATATTTTAAAATTCTAATTGTATACTTCGAGGTTTTAAATGGCTCTTTAAAATCTTAATTGAATGTCCACAGACTTTTAAAATATAAAAAAATCATGTCAAGTCTAGATTGAATACACCCCTTAAAATAAAGGTTTACACTTATGGATTTTAACTCTTAATTTTTATCTTTTTCTTCAAGATTATTCTAAAATCTTTCAAAACTGAAATCAAATTCATATAGAATGGTATTTAATTCTGATGATATTTGAATACCTACACCCAACATTATCCTAAATTAGTTTTCAAAGAAAATTATCTAGTAGTAAGTCTATTTAAATTGTTTTACGTATTATATCAAACTAAATTACTCTAAGTTGTTTCAAAAAAAAAATTACTCTAAGTTGGTGAAATAAATGTAACATAAAAATAAGTGATGTTATTAAATAATGAAGGTTCCATCAATAAATAGAGAATATATAAGAATCCTAAACAAAGTAGAATGAAGAATTATGATAGCAATAGAATAATATAATTAAATAATAATAGTATAATTATATTATTCATAATATCTCCCTACAAGTTGAGTATCAATAACGAGGAACAATTTGAAACACATATATTGAAATAGAGCCGGCGAAAATGGTTTTGTAAGGATCCCCGCTAGAGTAGAGACGGAGATAATCGTTGCATGACAACGAAATTGAGAATCAATATAATGGTGAGTTTTTTCGGAGAGAATGTTAGTAATTGGAGCGAGAGCACACAAAACATTTCAATTTCTAAAAAATGGACTAAAATACCCCTTTTGACCCTACATTCCCACATTTCATCCATCACATCTCATTTTACGTTTTTGCTTTTTAATTACTCTTCATTCTGTCCAAAAAAAATCACTCCTTTCTATTATTCTTAACTATTCATTGATATAAAACATCACTTTTAAAAAAGAAACGTTAAGGGCATTTGTGGAAGCTCAAACACTAAAATACACTTTCCTTAAAGTCTCAAAATCCAAAACCAGAAAACTTTTACAAGACGGAAGAAGAAAACTTTCTCATATTTTTCATGAGCTAACAAGTGTTTTTTCCTCACAAAAAACTCAATTCTTTTATGATATTTATAATTAAGATCTATAAAAGAAATGTGAACTCAAAAATAACTTATGAATTTCCCCCTTGTATATATGCTCGGCCCATAGACATACTCTTATAGTATAAGAAGAATTTACCTAAATAAAACTAAAACATAATGACTTTTTTAATATAAAACCATATATTTTTATTTCTTAATGTAAGACCATGGATCATTATCCATTAGTCATTATTCGAGTAAATATTCACCATCACTAAATATTATTTCTTTCACTAAGACACTATAAACTATAAAGTCTTATTTAGAAAATAAAAAATTCAAGTCTTACATTAGGAAATGATATATGTTTTGGTTCTGTTTAGTGTAAATTTTTCTATAGGGTAGGAGAACCTTAATACGAGAATCCTTCAATTTCTCGGAAACTAGAGACCTAAATCATCTTCTTCAGAAAAAAAAAAAAGAGTGACCTACATAAATTAATAGCGGCAGTTACCGTCAGAAAAAACAGACAGACACACAAAAATCATATACACCCATTTAAACAAAAGCATCTTACAATACAAGTCAGTCACATAGCATACACATAATCTGACTAAACACAAGCAAAGTACAGATACTTCATGACCATTTTATATTTCCAAGGGAAGAAAGAAGGCATTCACCATCTCATATCCCTGGAGTTCCCAAAATGCCCCCACCAACATGCATCATTTCTTTGAATTTCCATGGGGGGGTAGAATTGGAGGCTGAGTTGTTGTTGAGGAGTCTTCTTAGCTATATAAATTTATATATATAGGATTTGTTGAGTAGACCTTATTTCCTGTGTTTTCATGCTTTATTGTGTATAATGGTGGAGAAAGAGATGTTTTAGGACCCAAAAGAAGTCCTAATATTTGCCTTTGGAGGAGAAGAATCTGCTGAAGCCACGGGAGTTCTTCTCTGGGGATTGGCCGTAAGAAATGGTTGACTTGGTGGGCCTGTGGGACTTTGAGCTGATGGGCGACCTTAATGGGTTAACCGATTCCGAGTCCGAGGGACTAAACGGGGCATCACACATGTCCACATGAGACTCATGATGACCCAACTTCTGATCGGGGTCCTGAAAGCCGACCATTGATGGATCCTCATTCAGTCTGTTGTCCTCTTTGTTAGGGTGGTGGGGCCCTATGAGCTCGGCTGCCTGAGGAGGCCGCAAACCCTTCAGCTGTTTCCCTAAAAGAAATATTGTTTCTTGACATTCTGCCAGTTTTGCAGCTGCCTCTGCCAACTCTTTTTCCTGTAATTAAAGGAGACATCCCATTTCATTTACAAGATGAGAAAAAATCTGTTAGAGAATGGGTCAGATTGTATAAATGGACGATGAATGAATATTATTTTTTAAATGAACATTTAACGGATCATAATTCTTTAACATGGTGTCTTGTGGATGGGGATGATGAACAAATGGGTTTTATGCTTTAGTGAATCATCAAGTATGAGATCCATATACATAATTTGCTAGGAGGAGGCTCACCTGAGTTGTCTTTGCATCAATCTCAGCTTTTAAACTTTCGATCCTGATTGAAACACATCAAGGATAAATGAGAAATTCATAAAGATATATACTACATATAGAAAAAAATGCATTGCAAGCCTTGTGGAATAAACAAAGAATTAAAAAAATCAGATACTCACCTTCCCATTTGATCTTGAAGATCCATGCATCTGGCAAAAGCATCCTGATGTCCCTTCTTTTCTTCTTCAAGTTCAACCTCCAGAGTTTCATTCTTTGCCTGAAGAGCATTGACTTCAGTTTGTAACTTTTCGGCGCGTGTTTCAAGCGATTTGTATGACTCTGCCATACATTTAAGTTGCGTCTCTGACAACCCATTTGATCTCTGAGCAGATATTAACTGCGACTTAGTCTCTGCCAGTAACTGCTCTGTCTCAGCCAATTGTGCTCTTGTGCTTTCTAGACTCTCAGTTATTCTGCCTAAGTCAACTTCCAGATTTTCTTTCTCCGATTTCAATTGATCAAACTCCTCAGATGAGCATTTCCATGATGCAGCAGTTGACTCGGATGTAGGAACTAGACTGCTATTATGAGGAATGTCAGGATCAGATGCAGAATCTGAATATCCGTCTTCCATGTTCGGCTGAATTTTGTTCTCTGGTAAAGCTACTTTGTCAATGCAATCAGCAGAACTCATCTCTGTTTCAGAATTTTTATAGCCCAAAATGGTGAACTGCAGTTCGCTCGCTTTGCTCAGCACAACCGACAAGTCAAAAACGAATTTTACAAGGCTTACTCTGCTGTTTAAAACATCCTTATATGTTGCAGAGAAGCCATCCAATTCTTCAGAGAGTCCATTCCCAGAGGTAGATGTGCTGCTCTGCAAAGCCTTTGTTTCTGTGCCGATGAACATTAAAAACTCATGAATCTGATAGATAGCATCTGCCAATTCTTGGCTGATATTGTGCACTTCATCAGAGCTCCCACTTCTATCATGATGAGAAACTGAAACACTATTTTCTGCAGATACAGCATGAACCTCAACACAAGGCTCAGATTTAGTTGAAGCATCGGGAGACTGCAAAGTCTCAAAACCATCTGTAGTTGGATGATGATCCAATGTCTCAGACATTTCTTGCAGAACACATCTAAGATCGTCCAAGACCTTTTTCGTGTCAGCTTCTTTAGTCAATGACTCAAATACCTTGGAAATTTTTGACTGCAGTGTAGTGAAAGGTGAAGAACCCTCAGAGACTTCCATGCTAGAAAATGGCTGGTTTTCTGGGGATGAGGTGTTGATGTTTCTGAATTCAGCTACATTTTTCAAAACATCTGGTGAGCTTGAAACTCCTCCGTTGGTGT